AAGTTTTCATTAAAAACTGGCACCTGCTTATAAACTATTGAACAACAAGATATTATCTAATTACATGACACCTTAATCACTCAGGTATCATGATAAATATACGCTATATAGATATTTATGTGACATGTCCATAAGTTTGAATTTTCTGGTTTGAGAAATAATTTTCTGACTAATTTTATTTTACTCAACTACTTTACTTCAACGTGTTTTGCTTTGATTATTGTGATAAAATAATTCACTTTTCATCACTGTAAGAAGTGTAAAGAATAAAAGGTTTCTAGTTATCCCCACTAAGCCATGAGACTTCCGTGTAACTTGTTTTACTTTGTGAGATATTTAGAAACAACTTTTACTCAATCAGAATGTAGTTGAACATATAACCTGAAAGTTGGCAACAGAATAGATCAAATTATCGTCTCATTTTTTTAAAAACATGTCTTACATATGTATAATTGATACATATGTACTCATTTACTTACATATTTATTCATCCTATCTGCCGGTATGATTGTTTGGCTAGATGTCAATTTTACTTGAAACAAACATTATCTAACAGTACTGCGTGTTGTAATCTAATTATTATTACACTGGAGACAAACGTCATCGCAAGGGTGTTTAGGTCAGTTAATAGTGCTAAATTAATTAGGATAAGTAAGGAGGGCTACATAATCAATAACGAAATAAAGAAATAATACGATTATTAGGTTTTCTCTAATGAGTTAATAATTTTCTATTATGAGAATTTACATTATCACTGATTGTATATATGATTATTCCAAAGTTTAATAAATATCAATGAGCACAACATATAACACTCATAAAACCTCAATTCATAAAAAATAAACTGATGTAGAAGAATGATTAACTTAATAAACGCTGAAATCAAAGATTTTTTTATTTGGTGAGCCAATCAGAAGTACTCGGATAAGAAGTTCAATCGACGGCAATCAGAAGTGACCCAAAGGGCGAGTACATTTCATTGGCTATGAAATGGGTCAATTTCCTAAGGATAGCGTGGTATATATGTATGAATGAGTATTTGTGAGGGTTTTAAACTACGTTCAATTTCTGACGAATAATTTATGTGTCTTATCTTTGTATATGGATTGCAATTATAGTCAGGCTCAGACATTCGTACTAAAATTTTAAGCAGAATAGATTCAGATCCCAATATTATGTCGAAAGATATCACACATGAATGTCGTCATCTTAAGAATGATACTAAAATGATAGAACATCCGAATCCCGTTTCATTTGATTAGGTGAAAATTTCTCATTCAAATCCTATTATTTATCTTGCAAAAGGTCATTGGCGACAGGAAAATCATTGGAATTAAGATTGGAACTATTTGAAGTTCAGAATTAGAGTTAGTTAGAGAGTAATCAGAATTATAGTTGGAATCACCAATTTCATTAATCTTCACTTGGTCTAAGGGTCTGCTGTGAACTGAATAATCATTCGATTCAAGAATCTCTGCAATCCGGATTACCCATTCTCTGAAATATAATCCACGCAGATGGTCGGTAGTAATTTCTTTGGTAAAATTGTACTTCTGATATTTTGTTCACCAAATGTGTTCGATTTGAAGAGTTTAACCAGACTGTCATGAGTTCTTGAATGTTCTGCATTACGATAATGAAGCAAGGAATTATTGATGCATTTTTCTAACTCTTCTAGATTACTTAAATCCACAGTAGCTCTCTTTGAAGTTCGGATGGAATTTTGTTATACTATTAGACTGAGGACGTCGTGGGGCTGTGATTAGATGACGGCATCCGATGTCAGTAAGCCAGCTGCCCAACTCTTTCTGTAGATGGTTTCCATTGTCTATTAATAATACATTGGATATCCCTTTACGACTGGATATATTTCCTTATCGCTGTTTGAGTGAAGTGTCTACTAGGACTGTTCATTAGTACAACTTCTGGCCATTTGGAATATGAATCAATAACAATTAACGAAGAACTCGCATTCCTCAAGAAGACCTTGACGGAAAATGGTTACCCGAAAACGTTCATAGAAAAGAATATGAATAGAAGCAATTACGACAAGAAATCTAGTTGTTCCGTTCCGAAGAAAAACCTTTATATAAGTCTGGAATTTAAAGGTGATCGAACATCAGACGTTACCAAAAATCGTCTAACAACAGCTATTAGAAGAACATTTAATGCAGCTAAATTGCGAATAACCTTCATTAGTAGGAACTTATTTTCTGTATCCATAAAAGATAGGCTTCCGCGTCTGGTCGCCTCCATGTGCATCTACCAGTTCACCTGCTCTTGTGGAGCAAGGTACATTGGCCGTAGCCAGCGCTCGCTTCCAACTCGGATAGGGGAACATATCCTAGCTTGGTTCTATAAGGGTGAAAGGAAAGCAGTTAGGAGTTCTATACTTGAACACCTAATCGACTGTAACCATTCCACAGATCCAAAAAATGAATTTAAGGTTGTTTGTATGATTCGTTCAAATCTACCCAGATTTCTTCGCATCCAACTTTTAAAAATAGCCGAAGCTCTTACCATCCAGGAGCTTAAACCAGAACTATGCGTACAAAAGAAGTACGTCTTATCGTTATCGTTACCTTGGCTTTAAGCATTTTGCTTACCCAATTATTATTATTATTATTATTATTATTATTATTATTATTATTACTGCATTCTCCCCTTTACTTATGTCTTATATTCTCATTGTTTTATTCGTGAATACTCATCATATCACCATATTTATTTTTACAACTCTATGACCTTTAATTATTATAACAAAAAAACATTTGAATCATTTTAATCATCTTATTATATTCACTAAATCTATTGTTATTGTTATTATTCATATTACGTAATCTAGTATTATAACCCTTTTTTTTATTAACTATGTTCACATTTCCTCACGGAATTAGTACTTTTACAAAAAGGGTATTGTACGAACCCTTTTTGACCGCACACGCAAAATTTGCTCAAAACAATGCCTGGGAGATGAAAGTGCTCTCATTACAAACTGCCTACGTGGAAGTGCATATCCGGAGAATTTCATCCAGAAATGTGACAAAACCGACCCTCGGGTTAAATACAACAGATTGGAAAAGAAAACCTGCTTCATATACTTGCGCTTTAAAGGAGATGAAATCACTGGAGTAATTAACCACAGGATAAATTTCACGTTGAGAGTAGCTTATTCATCAGTAAAACTGACGATGTTATGTGAAACGAACTGTTCGCTCAAACAAACAGAAATTGACAGGTTCTCTTTTCTCAGTAGCTTCAACTGCATTTATCACTTTACATGCACGTTCCAAAGCATGTAAATTGGAAGAACTGAAAGAAGAGTACATGTTCGCATTTCCGAGCGTGTTTCAAAGAAATTCGGACTGCGAGGGGCAAGAGCTCTTAACAGTGCAATAGCTCGGTATTTATTTAACACCGAGTATACCATTGCCATTCCTCAAGCTTTCAAAATTATTGGCAGACAAAGAAGCACAGCTTCACTTCGGTTTGCTGAAGCAATTGCGATAAAAAAACTCAAACCTTATCTATGCACTCAAAAAGAGACAATAATAAACCTATTACTACCTTGGTAATTTAATTTTTTGGTCATTAGTTTTATTGTGCTAATGTTTAGTTTGTTATATTGCTCTTCCATTACTGAATTATTATTTATGTACATTTGAACCACTCCTCTTCACTCATATATTTCCACTCACTCATTTCTCTTAAATTATGTGAATTTGTAGGGCAATTGAAATGTCACTGAGCCCTAGCCAAATCATCCGGCAGTCGGATCACTGAATTTCGATCAGATTATCGATCCCTGTCAAGGACAATCAATGCGCATCAGTTAATCGTATGTTATGGACTGGCGCATGCGGTGGTGGTCTCGATATCTTCTTTGTACTCATTCTTACTAATATATTTCCGTAGTAACGTCCTTTGTGTTATACGGTCTTCCAAGTAGCCATAGTACTTTGATACGTCGAAGGGGTAGTACACGTTAGATGCTGACCGCGAGGTGTGACTATGAAATTAGCTGGTTCGTCACACCATTCCTGTCTAACTCGAGTAGGCTTCCAGTTAATCGACATAGATCATCCACGTTGGTGATCTGCAGAATTTTCAATTATTGCGCAACCCACCTTACCAGTTTGTTTTTTAGTTCCAGAGACTTTGTGCAAACCCTTCATTACATCTGAAATTATCACATCACCTACCCCTCATGTTTTTATTCTGACACAAGATTACCTCCGACCTGTTCTTGTAGAGATATTTAAAATTATTACTGATAACCCTTGTCACTCCAACTCTTTACATTCACTTATGTCAATTGTTTCACACTTTATGTTACCTCAATGTAAATTTTAACACATATTTCGTTGTAAGCAGCTGATGAGAAACAACGATATATAATGAATCCATATTATTATGCATCCATGTGGGTTCTGGCTTTATTCAAATTCATAAAGGGAACTAACTGCATGAAATGATTGACATTCATATGCTTCAAACATAAAGGTGCCTATGTGTACATATTTTCTAAATTTAGAATTGTAAAGTAGTAGGCACTCAGATCCTATCTACATTGAACATGTATCGCAATTTTGCACTTGCAATAGTATAAATGAAAGTCATGTGCATATAAATTCACGTATGCCAGTTTTCAAATGTACAATTATTCCAGGTCAGAATTAGGTTAAACAGAAAAATACTGATGAGTAGCTACTGTGTGTTGTGTGTATAACAAAGTAATGAAGGCTAGTGAATCATTCATTCTTACTATCAAAGTAGGGAATACAAAATAATTGTCAAAGATATAACAACAAACTCGTTCCAGAAAACTATCTCTCCTCCACACATACTCAAAGTCCATTCCCGTTGATTTACAATTTATATCAGACTGTAATTCATATTTAACCAATAACAAATCAGACTAAGTTTAAACTTAAAAGTGATTGGTGTATATATATATATATATATATATATACGTTTACAAATTGGATTATCATTTATGTGTACATTTGTTATGTGTCTCATCAATGTGTGTCTGTAGATGGAAGGATAAAGTTTGAACAATGTGTCAAGTTGTATTTTAAACAAACTTGAAATTGAACTAATTCCAACATTTTGCCCATCAAACTGGTCTGGGCTTATTTCAAGGCTGCATTATTTTATTTGATGGTATAAACGAATATATAAATAGAGATGAACTTTATTTCATTTTAAATCTTAGAAACCAAGGACGACAGGATAAAAAAAGCATTTCAATCTTCACATAGTTCGTAAATTGAAATGACTAAAAATAAATCCAATTGAATTCACTTACTAATAGTAATCTATCATAAAAGTAAATATCACTTAATTACTGGCTACAATAAATGAGGAAATCTAGAGTAATCTTTTTAATATACAAAATTTTTTAAAAATCAGTATTGAGAATTATTTCAATTGATTACATTCAACATTTTATTGGTATTATTTTATCGAAAATAATAATTTGTTTTAAAGAAACAAATGCCATTATACACGATTGTACATAATTCAAAAGGATTAATTTTGCACAATCTAACTGAAGTACATCATTCTGCATGAAAATTACAAATAAAAGTAAGTTGTTTATATGGATTTATATTAATTTCAATTTTATTTCTACATTTTATTGTGTTCTAGTTTACAATTTGCATGAAAACTTTAGGCATTTACTAAGTCCATATAGAACAGTAGTCGATGGAATTCATATATGGCGTCTGTATGAAATCTAATATTGTCATCATATTCAATATATTTACTGTGTTACCAGTCACTTTATATATTTCGCAACCATTCAGTGTCAACACAACTACAATCAGTCAACTATAATAAGGACAAAACTGATTGTTATAAACTACCAGTATGGATAAAATAACAGATATGATAATTATTTATCGGTTATAGTCTGAAGTCTCAAGCGAAAAGATATTAGAACGCAACGTGAAAACGAGTTATACCTATACTTTCTACTTTCAACTTAAAACAATACGATAAAGAGTTAGTTATCAAACAAAAGGTTGAGAGCCAAGGATGTACCTGAAGGTCACACGGAACATCCCATGGTATCTCTTTCTATCTTATCATAGTTAAAAAGAATTGTAACCATTGGTAAATAATACTACAACGTTAATATTTTCCATCACTTCATTCATTTGAGTGCAAATATTAGTGCTACAGCAGTTATAATAATTATAAATTTTGTTACGTCCTTGATCTGCCTACCCAGTAATAAACAGATAACCCGTATCGATCTAGGCTAACGCCTTGAACGATAGGCTAACTGGTTTAACCTTGAGGCTAGAATGCATGATTCCGAATTTAAACTGTCTTGGGTAGAGAGACGTAAACTATTCTATTACTTGATTGGTTGACAAGCAAGAGAGCGAAGACGAGTCGACTGGAACACTACTCGACTTATTTCCGACTCCGTTTCCTTACTCCAGTTCAGATTAGTGTAAAAAGATACATGAATAGATAGATGACTAATACGACTACGACTCAAGCAATTATAAAAATACAATTATATCCAAGCTGAGCATTAGGGTGGAAAAATAGAGTACCAAAGCTTATGTTTAAATTACAATAGCTGTAGAACAGAACAGCGTATAACAGTGCATCATATATCAAACGAAACCTTATGGTTTGTATAGTAACCTAGCGAAAAAACGAAATATTAGCGTTTTACAAGCTTTGAATTAAATGAAATAACGTCTCCAAGAATAGCTTTCGTTGTTTGTCATGGCTTCTTTGTTTTTCTGTTCACATAAAAAAACCCACTGCAACTCAACTTACATAATATAACTAAAGACACATATGACTTGAAATCAAAATTATCCGGATTAGTCATCGAGAAGAATGAAATCATGGTAAGCTTTGATGTCGTTTCTTTATACACAAGTGTTGCCATTGATAAATGCTTAGAATTCATTAGTGGTTTACTTGAGAAGGACAATATTCTTCCTGACAGATGTCCGTTGAGCATCAGTCTAATCATGAAATCCTTAAAACTTTGCTTAAATTCAACGCTATTTACTCTTAACGGTATGTTATTCAAACAAACTAACGGTGTAGCGATGGGATCCCCCGTGTCCCCAATTGTAGCCAACCTTTTTATGGCACACATAGAATCAAATACCTTCGCCCACAACATTATACCACGAATTTGGCTTAGATATGTAGACGATACATTTGTTGTTATAAAAATGACTCATCTTAGATCTTTTTCTAAACGAATAAATACACTTTCATCACACATCAAATTCACCAATGAAAATGAAAATGTATATGGTGAACTACCATTCTTGGATTGCTTAGTAAAAAGAAATCCAAATGGAAGTCTAAACCTATCCATTTACCGAAAACCGACACATTCAAATCGTTATATTGACTTCCATTCAGCACATCCTTTCAGTGCAAAGATCTCGCTAGCCTTAAATCTTTTTAGAAGAGCTAACAAGATCATCACATCAGAGGAAGACAAACAAAAAGAACAAATGAATAAAGTTAGCATCTTACAATTTAATAATTTTCCTATGAAGATTATTAGAAGCATATTAAAACAAAACAATTTATTACATTACAATAATGATTCGAATGAAATGCCATGGATTGGTACTGTAGTTCTACCGTACCGTCATGGCACAACAGAAGAAATCCAAAGAATCTTAAAACATCACAGAATCAAAGTGTATTAAAAAACAACGGACATACTACGTAATACTTTAGTTCGCCTGAAAGACAAAATCCCTTTCATGTCCACACAGAACTGCGTCTACTGCGTCTCTCAATTGAAAGGAAGGTCTTACTATACATCCTACTTGAACCATCTATCCTAGCCATTCAGTCTGATCGTATTCACAATTTCACACTATCATATTACAAATTTAAACTCTATCCTTTCTTACCATAAAGGTCACACAAGTTTTCATTCTTAAACAATGCACATATACACACAAATTTACATACCTATCACTTATGAATCACCTTGACAGAAATGACATGACATCAACTTGTTCAGACCTGATTTTTGATTGATCAAATATTATTTTTGCATTGTTCCGTTGTACTATTTAAACTTGAATTAATTTTAATTTGGTTATTTATTCTCTGAAGAAGTGACTTACACTAAGTCACGAAACGTCAGAAAATCCAATTTTCTACTCATTGGGATATTACAAATATATTATTTTTATTTAAAATATAGAACATGTTAGTAAATTTACAGTAAAGTTATAATTACCCACTAATATGAAATTATTTTGACTGAGCACTGTTTAGGATTCAAATACTAGAACGGAACAGCTGTCCAGTGGTCTCTGGTTTTCAATAGTACCTACGTAAAGGTCAGTTCGTGACAAATTAAACGACTCTCCACAAAATCCCTACACCATTGTAGTATATTTAAAAAAGAAGTCTGAAGGGATGTTTTAAACTGTTCCTTCAGATAATTCAATTACTTATTTTTATTACTTGCTGTAACATGAATAGTAGATAAATTAGAAAATGAATATATTTTATTTCGAGACTTATCATCATATGCAAATGCGGACAGTTATAATGTATAGTATTATTACAAACATTTTAAGCAAAGATGGATGGTGGCTAGCAATAAATTCCAAGACCGTCGTTCCGTCATATTTGATACTTGTTAAGTGAATGCACCTGCACCCCAGTGTTGATGTTGATGTATATACACCAACTCTGGAGTGCAGTTACGAGTGCAGCTAACCACTCTCAAATAGGACAAAATGCTCATCCTGTATTCCGCTGCTAGCCACTCTATTTAATATGATGTAATCCACACAGCATGTATGCAACTCAAAAGAGAGAATCGCAGTTTTAAATATCAGTAAAAAATTTTTTAACAATTAATATATATGTGAATTATTAATATGTAGGCGACAACGATATTCATTGGTTGTTTGCTCAGTCAGACATGTAGATAATCTGACAGGTGTTAGATGAGTTATATATTTTCCTATCCCTATTATTATTATTATTGTTATTATTATTATTATTATTATTATTATTATTATTGTTGTTGTTATTATTATTATTATTATTATTATTATTATTATTATTACTGATTGTTGATCGCAGTTGGGTTGTGTCGGCTTGTTGTCAGTTTTGGGTGTGGAAATATATTTACGTTCTAGTCAGGCTAATCACGTGTTCTTGATCTGAGTTGTGTTGAAGTCCTGTAGAACAGACACTGGGAAGGAATCTAGTGTTGATATTCGTCTAAGGTAAATTAACATCCCATACGTGTAGACGAAGTAAATCCGAGCGTTATAACAATTATTATACTATAGCCAATGCAAATGATTTTGAAACGAAATAAAATCTAGGAATGAAACACTAATAACTTGTCACATTACTTAAGACTGGTGTGTATTTATACATTGACAGTGAACTTATCGGTAAATACAGTAGTTTTAAGTGCTGTTAGAGTAATGGGGGCAATTATCATTTCCTCGTCGCTTACACCGTAGAAGGGTTCTTCTAGAGGTACCTGAAAGTGAAATTCAGTCGGTAAGTCAGTAACAACGTAGAACTTCGTACGTATGTACATCAGTTCGAGTTGCCACACCACATTAGCACAGAGATGCAGTTGTCGATTCAAATCCCGTAGTAGTAGAGGTAATAAGAGTATAAGCAGTAATCGGGAAGATTAGTGTTTGGAGATGTTACTTAAAGAGTATAATACAGTGAAATAAATTTGAGAGGAGAAAAAAAGAGACATGGAGGAATAAGGAGATCAAAATTTGAGAGAACACAAAGAGTGTATGCACCTGCGCCACTGCAAACGATTTTCAGCCATGTCATTCAGGGTCTCTAACCATCGGTTGCTATCATCTCGCGGTCCCCAACCAGGTAGTCTACACCTACCGACATGACTCAGACCACTTGTCAGTGACTTCATGGACTTGTGCCATGTTTTGGTCTGGCCGCCCCTAGCTTTCTTCCAACCTACTCCTATACCACTGAACATCGCACGTCGAGGTAGTCGGTCGTTGGGCATATGTAACAGGTGTCCCAGCCATCTCAACTGATGAAGTTTCACTACTTCGTCAATTGATTTGCCATCCTTACCTAGTACCCGTTTCCTAACAACTGCATCCCGTACTCAGTGGTCCCAGAATATACGAGCAATGCTTCGAAGACACCCATGATCAAATACTAGTAACCTACCAATATCCTCTACTCTTACCGGCCATGTTTCACTACCATAAAGTAGGACGGGACGAACTGCTGCGCAGTAAACCCGTCCTTTGGTTGATAAACGGATATCTCGCCTACGCTATAAGTGACGCAAGTTGGCAAAAACTAGTCGAGCCTTCTGTATCCGTGCTGAGATTTCGTCACACACCAGACCACAAGGGCTGATGAGACTTCCAAGATAAGTGAAGCGGTCGACATGCTCAACTACTCCAATCCTTATCATTAGTTCGGGTGTCGATGTAACCCAATCCTGAAGCACCATTTCGCATTTCGAGGGAGAGAATCGCATTCCGAACAAGCTTGCATTGTTGCTTAAAGTGGTCAGAAGACTTTACCAAATAGAACTATGTCATCTG